CTATGAATGTAGGCCGCACCCCCTAAAGGCAGAAGCTCGTACTACACCCGGTTCGCCCTCTATTGACACAGTCTGGAAACCTTCCGATCGCACCTCGTATATTGCCCACGTAGTATCATGCTTCTCTCTTGTCAGGACAAATTAAACGAATTTGTACAATGTCGTCATTAAATAACAGTTAACTGCTGAGTCTCCCCGTGTCTGTAGTTGGTATTAAATAAAGCAACGAACGTGTTTTTCCTCAGGGTGACAGCGGCGGGCCTCTGCAGTGTGGCGGTCTTCTTACCGGGATAGTATCCTGGGGGGAGGAGTGCGCCTTGCCTGACTACCCCGGGGTGTACGCAGATGTTGCCTTCTACAAGGACTGGATTGCAAAGCAGCTGGATAGAAGCAGAGTAGCTGATCAAGAATCCACGGTCTTTGTTGGAACCAGCTCAGACATTCACATCCAAACCAATGAGAATCAGATTCCTACCTCCTACGGTTAGGTCTACTAGGAAGTCTCTTTCCGTCAGGATTTTCGACTAAAAATTTTTTTCTTGTGCCAGATTAGCGAATCCGTCTTGATTTTGAGCTCCTAGAGTCTGATGAAAAATGAGAATTTCTAGTTCACCGGACGACATTACCGTCAAGAACTTAAATCAGTCCCTGCAGTGCAGTTTTGGACTCAATGGGACTGAATAAATTCGTAACGAAGTAAAGTTCAGTAATTTCACAGCTACAAATTTGGTCATTCAACATCATTGACTTACTTCGTTAGAGCCTAACACGCCTGGTAAGAACGATAAAACTTGTGTAATAATTTAATTATGGTAATCATACAGATTGGTTGAAACTCATTATAATTATTAGGTCGGCGTAATTATATCCATTAAAATGAAGCTGTACCACTATATGCCGTGCAGGCGTTTGTGGGGGGAGGAGAAGTGTGTATCCAGTACAATAATAAACTTCATTTCTGAATATTTGTTTAAATCTTGTCAGTCGAATCACAATAAAATTCCTATTAAATATTAAAATATTATTATAATTAACATTTAAATATTTAAAATATATTAAATGATGTTCTCTATCGAAATGTTCGATTTACATTATATCATCACTTTTTTACACGACATGTTTCACTTCTAAAAGAACCATCTTCAGGTGTATAAAATTATATAAACTTAAATATAATTTCTTAAATGCAACTTTTAGTCAGATGTTTATCA